CCCCCCCCCCAAAGTCAAATAATAACAATTGCTGGCAAGGCTGTAGGGGAAAATGGAACCCTTCTACATTGTTGGTGGGGATGTAAACTAGTACAGCCACTATGGAAAGCAGTATGGAGATTTCTCAAAAAATTAAAGTAGAAATTTCATTCAATCCAGCTATTCCTCTTTATTTTTCCAAAACAGTTAAAGTCAAATTATAGTGATACATGCATACCCCTGTTTATAGCAGCACAATTCATAACAGCTAAACTTTGGAAGCAGCCTGTATGTCCATTAGCAATGTATGGATAAAGAATATGTGGTCTTTATATACAGTGGAGAACTACTCTGCCATGAAGGATAAATGTGAGTCATTTGTTGGAAAATGAATGTTAGTGTTAAGTGAAACAAATCAGACACAGAAGCTTAAATATTGCAAAGTTCCTTTTATATGACAATCCCAAAATATAAATAAGTCAAAGAGCAAAATAAAAGACAGATAATAGGAAACGGGGAAAAAGATCTTCTGCAAAAGGGAAGGGCATGTAGCCGGGGATGTAGCTTAGTAGCACAGCACCTGCCTGCCAAGCGTGAGGTCCTGAGTTTGATCCCTGGTACCAAAAAAAAAACACCAAAAAAGAAGGGGCCAAGAGGTGGAGGGAGATGGGAGGGCAGGCAAGGAAGGGTGATGAAAAAGGAATGAAGATGTGTTAGGTACTTGTACCAAATCTCCATGATGAATGTGATCATTGTGTACTTACCGCAAGTATGTACTAATAAAAATAAAAATTAAAAAAACCAAAATGGATCAAAGAGTTAAAACCATAAAATTCTTTTTTTTTTTTTTTGTACCGGGGATCGAACTCGGGTCCTTGCGCTTGCACAGCAGGCGGCAAAACCACTGAGCTAAATCCCTGGCCCTAAAACCATAAAATTCTTAGAAGGATACCTAGAGCTGATAATACTTTTTTTTTTAACTTCAATTAGGCAATAAGATCTTAGATATGACACCAAAAATATTCAATAAGAACAAAAATTAGATAAGTTGGACTTCTTTAAAATTAAAGAACAAAGGATACTGTCAAGGAAGGGAAAAAATCATCTATGGAATGGGAAGAAAATATTTGCAAATCATATATCTGATAAAGGATCTGGTAGTCATAATATGAAAAGAACCTTTACAACTTGAAATTTTAAAAACTCCAATCTAAAAACTAGGCAAAGGGTTTAAATGACACTTCCCTAAAGGAGATATACAAAAAAGCCAATAAGCACTTGAAAAGATGTTCAACATTATTAGTTAGTAGAGAACTGGAAGTAAAAACCAAAATAATACAGTGGTTCATACCCACTAATATGACCATAATAAAAAGATGCATAATATCAAGTGTTCAAGATGTAGAGAAATTAGAATCCTGGTAAACTGCTGGTGGGATATGTATAATAGCTTAGTACTGTTGGAAAACAGTTCATCAGTTCCTCAAATGCAAATGTTGTTATCCTATGGCCCTGCAGTTCCACTCTTTGTAATGAGTTAATGTGGGAAGGGGATGGAATCAGAGAATGAGGCAGTAAGTACATTTCTGAGGTCTATAGATTTATAAAATTGGTACCCATTACATGCTAGAATGTTTTCATTATATGCAGTTTTAAAAAAATCCACATTAAATCTAAAATTAGACAACCTCTAATCAAAAGGTAAGTAAAGCTACGTGTTGTGGGGTGACTATAATCCCAGCATTCCAGGAGGCTGAGGCAGGAAAATCGAAAGTTCCAGCCCAGCCTGGACAACTTAGTGAGAGTGTCTCAAAACACTGGAGGGCTGGAAGTGTAGCTCAGTGTGAAGGCCCTGGTTTCAATCCCATTACCCTAGGCGGGGAAAGGTCAGTAAAACCTAAAGCAAACAATATGCAGCAAATGACTGTAGCACCTGATCTTAAGGTAATAAAGTCTAGTGCCATTAATGTAGTTTTTATCTTACACTCTTCAAACAACAGAAAAAATATTGAGAATCATATCAAGGGAATTAGCTCAACTGTCTGGCTTGGTAATTCTCAATGTGCAACCTCCTGAGCACAACACGGGCAGCTCCTGGATCCCATGTCTGACTCACTGAATCAGAACTTGGGGGCCAAGCCCCAGCAAGTTGGTTAACAAACCCCCAGGTAATTCAGATGCACACTCAAGTTATTACTCAAGTCACGCATTGAAGCAGAACTTTCCCGTTAAATAAACCATAGTTATTAAACTGCTGATCCACTCACTTTGCTGACCCAGATTCTCAAACACCAAACCCTTTCAAGCGGTGAGGGAGGACTGAAAGTCTTTTAAGGGTATTGAGGGCCGGACTGGCCAGCTGTGTTCTATTTTAAGCGCTCCAAAGCAAAGATCCTTCCCCCCCCCCCCCATTGCGGGGCCTAAGCATTCCCGTTAAAGTCCGCAGTCGCCACGGTGAGGACCTGCTCTCACGCCCAGAGCCAATTTCTAGCAGGTTAAGGAACATACCACGAAGAACATACTGTTTGGTCGAATTTTGCTCACTCTCTATTTACAATATCAATCAATCCTACAACAGTTCTTCCCTTTTATAAAACGGTTTGCTTTACGTCTATGACATCGCTCCTTTACACTTCACACCTCATTGCCCGTGGTCTGAGAACAAAAAGTGAAGAATCCCACCAATGGCCATCCTTCTGGGTAGCATGGGGACTCACATCACCCTGCCTCACCCTCCTGAGGCGCCCTCAGCCGGCGACCCACGCAGTGTGAACCACCCTTGGCCCTCTCGCGTCTCGGCGCTTGCATCCGGGTGACCCGATTTACTTTAACGGTAGCCCCAAAGTGCAGGAGCAGTGAGGTCGACAATTCGGAGGTACCAGCGACAAACAGGACAGCGCTTCCTGTGAGGGAAAGGGTGGCGTTTCTTAGTAAGGAAGAAGAAAGCAATGCTGAGGTTGCTAAGGTGTGTGGCAGGAACATCCATTCTATGTGTTGGATACTCTCCGCCTTTTCAGGCCTCGCCTGGTGTCTTGCCCGACCGTTCGGCATTTCCAAATAACCAGCTCGTCACACAGACCCCTACTCTAGGAAGCACACCCTCCTGTCGGGTCTCTCCTGCAGCCTGTGGTAAGGGACTTAACCTAACGCGTTGGACATCTGGCTTCTTTGTGTAGCATCAGTTGAGTCCGAGGGACAGAATATGCAGCCAGCATTTACCTCAGAGTTGACTGTGCTGACTGACCTGTGCTCCTTACCCCATGCCTGTGGACTGCAACGTGGTCCCGGCTGTTACTGGTCAGGCTGTCTTTGGGCCAAAGCTGGCAGCAGCAGCTTTGCATGCGCCACACTGTCTGCCAGGCAGGAAGTCTGAGACAGAACTCCACTATTAGATCAATAACCTTGTGATTTAATATTGGCATAAATGGCCAGGAACATTGATTCATTAATGGTTTTCTCTTAAATAAAAAATTAAGAGCTGGGTGTGGTGGTGCATGCCTGTAATCTCAGCACTTGGAAGGCTGAGACAAGAGAATCGCAAGTTCAAGACCAGCCTGGGCAACATATGGAGATCCTGTCCCAACAAAACCAAACCAACAAAAATTAAAAATCCCCTCTAGTAATCAATAATTTATAATAAAAATTATAGCACTGGCTTAATGATATTTGCACCATCCATTTAAAATCATTTAAAGGGCCGAGGATTTAGCTCAGTGGTTCTGCCTGGTTTCAGAAGTGGTTCCCCTTCTGAACCGGGGTGGATCAGCATGTTCTGGGCAGCTCAGGAGCATCCTATGGCCTCCACATTTTTGCCCATCTGAACCAGGCTGTATCGGCATGTTGCCCACAGCTGGGGAACTTGTGTCCTCCACAGTACTGCCCGTCTGAACCGGACTGGATGGGCGTGTTTCCCCCAGCTCGGGAGCTTGCTGTGGCCTCGGTAGGGTTGCCTATCTGAACCAGGCTGGGTCGGCATATGCTGCATACCTCGGGTGCTTGCTGTGGCCTCCACAGGCTTGCCGGTCAGAACTGGGCTGGATAGGTGTGTTCTGCATAGCTTTGGAGCTTACTGTGGCCTCTGCTGAGTTGCCCATCTGAACCGGGCTGGATTGGCATGTTGCCCACAGCTCGGGAACTTGTAGCCTCCCCAGTCTTGCCCTTCTGAACTGGGCTGGATCGGCGTATTCCCTGCAGCTCCGGTGCTTGTTGTGGCCTTGGCAGTCTTGTCTGTCTGAACTGGTCTGGATCAGCGTGTTCAGCTCTGCTGGGGATCTTGCTGTGCCCTCTGAGACTTGCCCATCTGAACTGGGTTAGATCGGCATGTTCCTCACAGCTCGGGATCTTGCTGTGGCCTCGGAAGACTTGCCTATCTGAACTGGGCTGAATTGGCATGTTCTGCGCAGCTCAGGAACTTGGCTGTGGCCTCCAAGACTTGCCCGTCTGAACTGTGCAACATTGGCATGTTTTGAGTAGCTCGGGCACTTTCTGTGACCTCTGTAGACTTACCCATCCCAACTGTGCCGGATTGGCAAGTTCCTCGCAACTCAGGACATTTTTGTGCCCTCTGTAGACTTGCCCTTCTGAACCGGGGTGGACTGGCATGTTGCCCACAGCTCGGGAACTTACTGTGGCCTCTGCACACTTGCCCGTCTGAACCAGGGTGGATCATCGTGTTCTGGGCAGATGGGGAGCTTGCTGTTGCCTCTGCATGTGTGCCCTTTTGAACTGGGCTGGACTGGCGTGTTCCGTGTAGCTGGAGAGCTTGCTGTGGCCTCAGCAGCCTTGCCTATCTAAATCGGGCTGGATCGGCGTGTTCCACGCAGCTCAAGATCTTGCTGTGGCCTCTGCAGTCTTGCCCATCTGAACTGGGCTGGACTGGCCTGTTCCTCAGAGCTCAGGAGCTTGCTCTCTCCTTTGCAGACTTGCACATCTGAAGTGGTCTGGATCCGCCTTTTCCAGGAAGCTCGGGAGCTTGCTGTGTCTTCCGTGGATTTGCCCTTCTGAGCCGTGGTGGATAATCGTGTTCCTCGTAGCTCGGGAGCTTTGCTGTGGCCTCCGCAGACTTGCCTGTGTGTACCAGGCCAGATTGGCGTGTGCCTCACAGCTCGGGAGCTTGCTGTGGCCTCCACAGACTTGCCCGTCTGAACTGGGGTGGATCATCGTGTTCTTTGCAGATGGGGAGCTTGCTGTCCCCTCTTACATGACGTTTCAGTGTAGCTGTTTTCATGGAAGAAAAGTGAAAATCTCCCATCCACACCCTCAGTCACAGAATCTCACTCCTCAGAGGTAACCACCAATAACTAGTTATACTGTAGACTTTAAAAATGGATATATTAGCACATACCATTTTAGAAGTAATTTCAATAAAAATGAACTACATATGTGGCTCTGTAGATTCTTCACTTAGACATGTACCAGAAGGATTTATGTCATTTTAATGGCTGTGTATTACTTTATTCTTACAGTGTTATGTAGCTAGAATTCTATTTGGACATTTAGGGTACTGTGCGGTTTAAAAAGTTACAGTGGTAACAGTGCCCAGTCTTGCATAGACATTTTAATGCACTTACGGGAAGTGGAATTGATGAGTCTAAATTCTTGTGGATTTTGCATGTTGATAGACATTGTCAAATTGCCCCTATGGCATCAATTTACAGCGCCATGGATGGGATACCAGAGCACCAGTCTCCCCAGTCAGCATCGGCATTGGCTTGATATTACAGAACTTTCCTGCCTTTTCATTCCAGTGAAAACTCCTCATTCTACATATTATTTTTATTATTCTTTTCTTTTCAAAAGTTTTTTCTTGGCCTGGAGATTTAGCTCAGTGGCACCACACCTGCCTCACAAATGCAAGGTCCTGAGTTCGATCCCCAGTACCAAAAAAAGTTTTTTTCTTTGCTTTAAATATTCAAATGTATGTTACATTTTCTTAGGCTTGCTTTTCTTTGTCTTACTGATTTGTGAGAGCTCTTTATATATATCCCTTCCCCTAGGATATATGTATACTATGTAACACTTACATGATATTATTCCAAGGGATTGCTTTATGTAGTCCATAACAACAAAAAAGGGACAACTCTGTGCATACTTACATGGAATTAATGCCAAAGTATTTCTTTTCTTTTTTTTCCCCCTCAGTACTGGGAATTGAACTCAGGGCCTTGTGCTTGCCAGGAAGGTGCTGCACCGCTGAGCTACATCCCTGGCCCCCAAAGTATTTCAAAGAATAAAAGGAATGAAAAGAAAAGTATGCTCCAAAATAGGCAAAGAAAGAAAAAGCAAAAAGAGAAAGAAAAAGCAAAAAAATGCTTGCATTTGGCTACCAAAACCAGATACATGCTGGGCGTGGTGGTGCATGCCTGAGCACTTGGGAGGCCGAAGCAGGAGGATCACCTTGAGTTTGAGGCCGGGCTGGGCTACACAGTGAGTTCAAGGCCAGCCTGCACTACAAAGTGAGACTGTCTCAAAAAAAGCCAAAACACAACAATAAAAAAATTCAGATACATATTTATATCTGTGTATGTTTTGTTTAGATCTAAAATGTCCTACAAAAGTCTCACGTGTTCAGAGGTGGGGTTTAGGGGAAGTGATTGGATCATGGGGGCATTACAATCATTGGAAGAGATGGATCACTGAGGGTGTGACGTGGAAAGGTGTATTCTTGTCCCCGGTTCCTCTCTCTTTCCTGTCTCTCTCCTTCCTGGCTGAGAGCAGCTTCCTTCCACCATTCCCCCCCACCTGCCATTTCTGCCTTCGAACCAGTCAACCATGGACTGAACCATCTGAAATTGTGAGCTGAACTAAATCTCGCCTCCTTTAAGTTGCAGGTGTTGAATGTTGTGCCAGCAACTGACTAATCCAATCTGTATTCATTCTATAGTGTGTGTGTGTGTGTGTGTGTGTGTGTGTGTGTGTGTGTGTGTGTGTACCATGGAGTATTTCTGAAAATACTTGAGAGACTGGTTGTATTAATTGTCTTTGCAAAGAGGAATGGATAGACAGAGTGGGTGGGGGTTCATTTTTTAATATATGTGTTTTGTACTGTTTTAAGATTTGCTGTTGTTCACCATGAATATGAATCAGCTACTCAGAGTCAATTTTTCTAAAGAAGTAGATGATTCAGAAATCAATCTTTGGGGCTGGAGATTTAGCTCAGTGGTTCTGCCGCCTGCCTCTCAAACGCAAAGACCTGAGTTTTATCCTTGGTACCAAAAAAAAAAAAATCAATCTTTTCTTTTATGGCTCTCCTGTTTTCCCAAAACTATTTCTTTTGTTTTTGGTACTGGGGATCAAACTCGGGTCCTTGGACTTGTGGGGCAGGCGGTGGAACCACTGAGCGAAATCCCCGGCCCTCAAAACTATTTCTTGAATAATCCATCCTGTAAGCTTTGATACAAAATGTCATCTTTATCATATACTAAATTCCCATATGAATGTTAATTTATTCCTGAAGTCATTATTTGACCTCATTGATTCATTAACTGGATGCAAAGGGATTCAAATACTGTAGCTTTTTGTTTGTTTTCGTTTTTTTTTCCAGTACTGGGGATAGAACTCAAGACCTTAAGCTTGCCAGGAAGGCACGGCAATGCACAGCGACATCCCTGGCCCTCTTTGTTTTCAAGACAGGGTCTCACTATGTAGTTCAGGCTGGCCTTGAACTCACAGTGATCCTCCTGCCTCAGCCTCCCTAGTGCTGGCATTACAGGTGTGTACTACCTCACTTGGGTGTAGGTTTAAATAAACTTTAATTTCTAGTAGATGAATTTCTTACTAATGACATTTTAAAGTGTTTTTGGAATATTCTCATATTCCTAAATTTTCTGTCAGTCGGATTTTAAAATTTATTAAATTTAGTCATAGGGGGTGCTAGGGATGCAGCTCAGTGCAAGAGCCCTGGTTTCAACTCCCTGTACCATAAATAAGTAGAGAGGGCTGGGGATGTAGCTCGCTGGTATTTCAGCCCTAATAGGATGAAGGTAAATGAAAGGATCATGACCGCCTGTGGAAGGCAAGGAGGTGTTATGAATTGAATTGGTACAGTTAGCTGTTGCCCAGGTTCTCTGTCATCACTGGCTTTTCCTGTCAGTCTTTGCTCCTGTCAGCAACCCAGGTTCCTGAGGCTTTGGAGAAGTCAGACAGGCCTGGCTTTTCTCCACAATGGGTAGAAAGGTCTGGCCCAAGAACCCATGCTTGGGCAGTCTATAGAACTGAGTGCTCTAAAGGCTTTTCCCTTCATGGCAAAGTGCATACTAAGTTAGTCACACACTGTTCAAGATATTTTGACTGTAGGAGCCTGGTCTTGCAGAGAGGGTTGGTTCAAGATGTAGGCTGAAGTTGCCAAGTTCTCACAGGAGCTTGAGCCCTTGCTCAGTGGGTAGGCAGTTGGCCCATGCCCCGCTAGGCCCCACCTGCGGACAGCTGTGGTGTACCTGCCCTCCAGTGACTCTTGTTCCCCCACAGCTCACCCCCCTAGGCTCTTAACTACATTCACATCTCCAGAATCTAAGTGAATACTAATAACATTTTGTAAGTTCCAAAAGTAATTCTGTGGATACTGTGGTCATCACAATACCCATTATATAGATTAATTTATATAGACATCGCACTTCACAATTTTTTTTTTCAGTACTGGGGATTGAACTCAGGACTTTGCACTTGCCAGGCAGTCATACATTTTACAATATTAAATCTTCCTAACTAGCATAATATATAACTTTCATTTATTCATTCATTCACTTGATGAATTTATTGAGCACCTAATACATCAAGAATTCTGCTAGGAACTAGACATATAAATGTAAATGCAATCATGTTATTAAGGATCTTCTTAAATCTAGAAGAGATAACAAGCATATAATGGAACAAATAAACATAAAATTGTGCAGTTTTTTTTTTTTTGGTACCAGGGATCGAACTCAGGACCTTGCGCTTGTGAGGCAGGCGCCAGAACCACTGAGCTAAATCCCCAGCCCAAAATTGTGAAGTTTTTAAGTGCAAAGGAGATATGCAGTCTTACAGTGAACTTTTTTTTTTAACTCAGGTCCTTGTGCTTGTGAGGCAGGCATGGTGCCACTAAGCTAAATCCCTGGCCCTACAGTGAACTTATATTAAGTGATTTTGTCTGTTCCAGGGAATCTAGGCAACATTAACTGAGGGAGCGACAACTGAACTGGTTCTGGAAAATATATTTGAATCATCCTCAGTATCCTCCAATTGGCTTCATGCTGAGCACATTTCTTACGTTTGTCCTTGAGTATATAACCTTTTTTGTTGTAATAATATGGGATCTTTTAAAATTTTTATTTTTATAGTACTGGAGATTGAACTCATGGCCTTCTCTCTGAGCTCCATCCCTAGCCTTTATTTTTTTGAGGTAAGGTCTCACAAAGTTGCTGAATTGCCCAGGCTGGGTTTGAATTTGGAATCCTCCTGCCTCAGCCTTCCAAGTGATGGGATTACAGGCATGAGCCACTGCATCCAGCTCAGCTATTGAGGGTTTGTTTTTTGTTTTTTTAAAACATGGTCTCACCATGTAGTTCAGTTTGGCCTTGAACTCACTATGTAGCCCAGGCTGGCCTTGAACTTGCGGAGATCCTCCCGCCTCAGCCTCTAGAGTGCTGCGATTACAAGCATACGCCACCATGCCTGTCTCAGCTATTGAGTTGTGTATATTAAATTTGTAATCAGCTGCTTTAGAAATTTCTTAAGGTTATTGAAGGAACTGATTCTCTCATTCTTGTACATTTCTTCCTCAGCCAATAAGATAGTTGTGTCTGTCCAAATTTCTATCCTTCTTGAACTTTTTTTTTTGTACCGGGGATCGAACTTGGGTCCTTGCGCCTGCGCAACAGGTGGTGAAACCATTGAGCTAAATCCCCGGCCCTCCTTCTTGAACTTTTTTTTTTTTTTTGGTACCGGGGATCGAACTCCGGTCTTTGCTCTTGCGCAGCAGGCGGCGGCGAAACCACTGAGCTAAATCCCCGGCCCTCCTTCTTGAACTTGTAAGGGAGATGCTGCTATCTTCACTGCCCCTGGATGAGTGCATTCGGTGATGCCTGACTGGGTGGATGCTAAGAACAGGGCATCTCCTGTGGCGTCCTTCTCCACTGGGCGGGAGGGACTCGTGTGGGCCCGTGGCTCGGTGTGACCCATCTCTTTTCATCCTCCATAGCTGATGAATAACGTGGATGCTACTTACTTTACTAGTGATTAGCAAATACTTTGCTCAAACTAAAAATAGTAATAATAGGTTATTTTTTTCATCTTGGTTTAATATGTCA